GTGCTCATTAGCGAAATCTGCTGCAGTCATTGGCAGAGCTGGTGACTACCCCCCTCAGCACCGTTCCCCCTTGCGATTGCTTTAATTACTAACGCGTGCGCGCTCCTTTCCGATAAGCAAACGCGACGAGTGCCATTTAGGACCAAGTTGCAGCAATTTTGGCAGCGCAACGTGGGCTCTCCATTGGTTCCGTTGACCAATTCCGCCGTGCTCGCATGTTGCCCTAATGAGTTGGTCCTGACAAGCGCAAAACTGGGCGCACACGTGTGCGTGGGCTATATTTAATTTCCCGCAGAGGCTTCAATAAGACAGCAACAGCTGGCACTTAGTGGCACGAGTACTGAATGCTAGCGTTTTAAAAGAAAATAAAGTTGTAAAATAACGCACTTCCACCATAAATGAGACCAACTGCCTAGCAATATAATATAAAAATCGATAGTCTACTGCATATGTTATCAAAAAAAGAAAGAAAAACATATCATGTTTAAATAATTTAATATTCCATTAAATAAATGATGAGAGTAAAGCTTAGAGACTACAAATGTTTTCGATTTACATTCTATTGTCAGCCATGTTCTAATATTTGCAAAAATATTGTGTTTTTAACTAAGCAGAATCTTTTGCTATTAAACGTGTTTTTTGGGTAATGCCTTTGCAATCTTTATGCAGGTTCTCTGTTTAAAAAAAATAAGTTCTCTTTCTTCATTTTGAAGGAATTTGAATGTTCCAAATGACTTTTGACTGTTTTGATAATTCTATTTGATTATATGACTAATGAAATAAATAAGAGTACGCTAAAAGAGTAATTCTAAGTCTCGATAAGAAAATAAACATAATTTGACTTAAGACAAATGAGAGCAAATTATAACATATCGTAATATTCCTGGATGTTCGAAAATAAAAACAATTTTAATTTGTTGACAACTTCACTTACATGTGGACTTAAAGCAGTTCCATAGTACTTAATTGCATTTCTTCAACAATATAGCGACGAAATTGAATCATGAATACAATTTGAGATCATAGCATCAAACAAATTGCTATCTTTAACATAAAGGATATAGGCTGCTGAAGAAGGGATAGAGGAACTGGAAGATGGTCTCATCACCCTAAATGTGAGATACTGGAAGTGACAAAAAATAAATAAATAATGAAGAGGCGTTGAAACTTATCGTGAAGGAAACATAAGCCAACATGTTGATAATACTACAATGCTTTTAGATTTAAATTTGTGATTTTGCTTTATAAGCCAGACACAGCAGTTCCTAGTGAGTTAGACAGATTTTTAATCTCCACTTATTATAGGTGTTTCCTTTCAAAATGTACTTACCCAACATATCTGCTATGCAATTCTTTGAATAACTTTATTAACAATGTACTGCGTACTCAATGAAACAAAAAGCAAATTCTCCCTTTGTAATTGGTTATGAAAGCGCTTTAAGTGACTTTGACTTGCAATCCGCTTTCTTACTTTCTTAGCCACGCCATTTTTAATTGTTGTCGAGTTTTCCCCTTGGGTTTCCTTTTGCTTCATTCAATTTGCACAGTTTTTTGTCGTTTTAATTCGGCTTTTGTTTGGAAATCGTTAATCTTTGACAACAACAGAAAATGAATGAAGCATATGCTGTGTATGGCATTTCCTTTTTAACAGTATGCCCTCCAATAATGACCAAGAAGAGATTTGCGAAAAGCAATTCTAAGGAATGTGTTTTACAAAAACTTTTTTTTTAAGAAATATGTGGTTGTCTTGTAATAAAAGTGGCTACGAAAATTTTAACTTGTTATATCAGGAATTTAAGAAAAATATAAATTACATTTTAAATTAGTTTTAATGCGAAAAAATAATAAATAATTATGCCTCGCTTGTACGGAGTGCCATATAATCCTTTCTGGACCTTCCACAAATATTATCTCGCACTGTACCCGTATATAACGGTGCAAAGCTTTTCCCTAGACGTATTTTTTTGGCCATATTATTGAATGTGGGCAAACAATGCCATGTGCGAAGTGCATGTGACTGTTGACTGGCCACATCCGGACCCAAGCCCAGACCCAGAGCCAGATCCAATTCGAGCCTGTTTTGGCAGTTGCGTTTGATTTCTTTTCTCGTTTTTTTTATTGTTTTGGCCAGAGTTACCCTTGCAATAAATTGCATGGAACTTTGAACATAATCGACATAAAAATGTTCCGTGCACGTCTTGTAATTGGTTTAAGAATTTATGGGGGTTGTTTGAATTGTGCTTTGTATTGTATTTGCTTTTTAAGATAAATGTTCGGGGACATGTGGACGTGTCTAAACAATTGCCATAATGTGAAGTACTGAGCTCGTTATTTGGTATTGTATTGACGTGAGTGCAATACACTGTTTACTCAAGTAAATTGGGGAATATAATTCTTGAGATCAAAGGGACACATTGTACTAAATAATTGCATGTAATTGAATAATATACTATAAGTAATGTTTGATACATTAAATAAAAGAATCGGTGCTACAGAGAGAGTAAAAACAAGAAAGCACTTCTATTATATTTTTGAAAATTTTTTGAACAAACATTCGTGTTCAGTTTCAGTTTCAGAACCAAAAATATTTTCCAAAATCAATATTAAATTGTACGTTCTTCTCATACGACAATTTTTGATTTCTATTTCTAAACATAGTTAATGTCTGAAAATATTTGAAGAAAGATATTGTCAAAGTATGCTACTCTTAACAAGTTCCTCTTTTAAACTTCCCTTTGTCTGATATGTTAATAGTTATTTCTTGGAATATAAGAATGTTTCATTAATTTGTACATCATCTCTTTGCATAATTGACACTAACATTTAACAACTTTTATATAAATTCATATAAATTTTTGTTGAAGCTTTACGAAGTTTCTAATAAAGCCGATAAATTTATAATTGTGCAATTATTTATCTTTTTAAAATTGTAATTTAAATTTATATTTCTAATAAGAAATAATCAACTAATAAACGAACGAATTTATTAGAAATTATTTAATATTAATTATTTAGATTTTTATAAGCACACTTTTTATGGTTTTAGTTGCATTTGAAAATTAGGTAACCATATACTAAGAAAATTTTACAATTTATACTTTGAGAAATGTAATTTTTAATGAAAATACGGTTCCTTAATTGTACAAATAATATATTTTGTAAGGCCGCATAGATATTACATCGCAAGCAGGTCTTGTAATGAATGTTGGCCGACTTTGTGTTATTTCTAACAATATTAATTTAATCAAACTGTCTTGACTTTTTTCAATGCAAGTTATTGATAAAAAATAGGAAGGATTGTAACTTAAATAAAATTGCTAAGGCGCGACGACTGAATGACCAGCAAGTTTCACATTCGATGAAAAAGAAGAATATATTTCATTAAATTTCATGGCACATCTAAAAACGTTTCCTTTCATTGAATTTGCCACAATTGCTTTGAATGTCTGGCATATATTGTGCGTTTACGTTTATTTTTTGTTGTTGCTAAATTTATTTATAACAATCACAATGTCACTGCCATTGATGTGTGTGTCGTCCTTTGATTGTATTTTTGTACAATATAGCTACATAAATATGTGAATGGTCGCAGAGCATTCAATTCAAAAATCAGTTTGGAAGTTTTCTTTGATAATCTATTATTTATTTTTTTTATTGTATGGAAAAATTATTAGAGAACAAAGTCAATGGCATTTTAGTTGTTCAATGACAGTGAAATTTATTGGATAACACAAATGTTTTTATATGTAAATCAAAGCACATATTAATTTATGCGCAATTATTTTAAAGTGAAATACGATATGAGAGATGGATTGGTAAATTGCGAGTAATAGTATATACAATGGAATTTTTACTGACTTAATGGTAACTTAAAACTTCAAAGTTCATAGTTGCTAAATTGGGTTGAATGAAAAGGGCAAAAGGCAGAAATAAATATTCCATACACTCGATTAAAATATGGAATATTTGTATTATAATTGATTGTGTAATGAGGCTTCAAATTGGCCAACTAACTAATTGGTTGACGTTGGTTTGCTAATGATGGTTCGCGGATATGCATTCATTTTATCTGTATTTAAAATGTATTAAATAAACCTAAGTGCGTGCCAAAGTTTGTTTGTCATATCTTTTAGGCATTATTTGCAAGATAATAAAATGTAATTTAAAGTAAATGCTGTGCGTAAATTGATATTCTCAACACATTTCATGTACAAATATTATCATTGTCCTATTAATGAGTGCTCCATCCTGTAAAAAAAAGAAAATAAGAAACACATCTTACAAAAACATTCAATGGCCAAGACATTGCATTTGATTTTGTTACACACGCCTCGGTAATTGAAACCAAACACGAAAGTCGTTCAAAAGCTAATATTTTGACTGAAATTTAATAACGTCATAAAACTAACATTAAACGAGAAGCGAGCAAGGCGAACAACGAGGCAATCAAAATATGGAAGGAAGCCGAGAAGCCAAGCGACTGAGAAGAAAAATTACAACAATATTATGGTCATCATTCTTGTGACACTTGTAGGGCATTCAAATGCCCAAATTTGTGAACAATTTCATTGCCAAAGATATATATGTATGTGTGTGTGTGTGAGGATGGGTGGAAGCCACAACAAATGTGGCATTGAAAGTGTGGGACTTTGCCAGCGAAAGCTGCTTAAACGTATTTTGTGGGACCCCAATTTTTTTGTTTTTTTATTTGTCCATGGCGCGTTTAATCCGTTCGACATATTTTTTCAGCGCCTTTGGCAGTTATGGCTCTAACGCTTCGTTTCTTCTTCTGTTTGTTTTTTTTCAGATACTCTTTATTGCAAATGGCATGCTCGCATTGATTTTGGCCCCAAAAACCCTAAACCAAATCCAAAGCCAAAGCCAAAAACACAATACAAAGTGTGCGAGCAAATAAATAAAATGGCGTCGAAGCTGCGCCTTTGAGTGGCTTGGGAGTGGAAGGACGGAGCAGGACGGTTGGGGTAGCGGTGACACGCATAATGTGCCCTACCCATGCCAGCAGCCATGCCCGCAACAATTGCAGAAACAGCAGAGGCAACAATAACAACAACTCAATCCGTTTTGCTGCGGAGCCGCCATTTCCACGAAGCGACACAGCCCGGCCCCGGAGGAGACGCAAGCCAACATCAACGAACCGTAAGAGGAAGAAGACAATTGTCACGTCAATGCCAGGCCTAAAATCAGTAGTCAAGTGGAAAATTATTATATCGTCAATAATTTTGCTATTATTATGCGGCACAAGTGAGTAGAGAAACGTAATTGTGCCCATTCATCTTTGGGTATGAGTGGTTGAGTGCACGAGTGTGTGTGTGTGTGTGTGTGCGTGCACATAAGGGTGCATGTTTGTGTGTCCGTGTGTGTGTAATAATTGGGCTTGATAGGATTTGTGGAGATGGAAAATTCACTACAGTAGCATATTGCAAAGCTACAGATAAACAAGAGTGGCTCACACCAAGCATTCGAGCCGAAAGCAATAATCACATACATAGCGAGGGAAGCTTATTAGTGGGGTTATTGCTAGTCTGCAAAATAATTATTATAAAATCTATTACCTATAAACCACAACACCCGAAAAATATCGAAAAAAAGAGTTGTTAACTCTCTCTTAACTAGTTTGATTTTAAATATGAGGACTAATTTAAAGGACTGCAAATTGTAATTGAAATTCTACAGCTGAAAATCACAAAACATATCATAATTTACTTTCCGTATTGCTCAGTTGTTATGAAAGTCAGTTAGTTATAATAATTATTGTTGAGGTTGTAGTCTAAATTGTAAGCGAAAATATGTATCATAGGAGGACTCCTTAAATTCAAGGAATATTCGAGACATCCTCGAGAAGATTAATTGTTGCGATAGTTTCAGCTTGTTGGCTTCCTACTCTTAGTGCTGTGTTCTTCTCTGGAAGTTTGTGTAAAATTGCATTACTTCTTTTACTTTCAAGCGACTTTCCTGTTGTTATTGTTGCTGCCTTTAAAATAATTACAGAATGTAATACGAGGTTTTAACATGCATGTAAAAGTGTTGCGCTGCTGCTTTCCCACTTTTATCGTTGTCGTTGTTGTTGTTGCAGTTGTTGTTATTGTCTTCACAGTTGCTTTATAATTTTGCACTTGAGCGCGACCAAAAGCGCTCGCCTCAATTTCCCAGGGATGGCTGCCACAGGGATGGCGGTGACGGCAGCGACGGGTGAAATTGTGAATGAAATGAAGAGCACAGAGTGTGGAGGGATTGTGAATGTGGATATGGATGTAAATGAGAATGGGTGGCAGTCTCTGTCGACCGACAATGAGAAATAAATTACAAGGATTTATACACATACATTTTTTTTATCTCTACTCTTTTCATGCCGCGAATTTTTTCATCTTATTTCCATGCTTCTTTGTGCCTCGATTTGCACAAAAGGTCACGTGCTGGCGGTGCGAAAGGGTCGCCTCATGTCCCCGAGCACATTCACCGCACTCAGCGGCGACCTGCATGTGCAGATACAGTTCAGTGGAGGCGACGAGGAGGAGGACAGCACGACAGTGTCGAGCGGGCTGGCGGGTTGGCCGGGACGGCAAAATCTCAGTGACGCCCACTTAAGCACTGCTGACAGCCAGTCAGTGATGGGAGCGGGGGGCGTGGAGAACACCATAATGAGCACTTTAGTCATTAGCAAATTCATTGATGATGCCATGCTCCCTCAGCTGGAGGCCGAACCAGGCGTCTCGCAATTGGAAAATGGCACGCACAATGGACAGGTGTTGCTGCAGCGTCAACGCAAGGAAGTGGTTCAGAACATACCACTCTTTCCCGATCCCCGCCACAATGTCACACAGATCGCTGTGCCCTGTCAGACCTTCATGCGTGGCGGGCTCTACGAGATGCAGGTGGTGAGCAACCTAAAGACCACGGCACCAGCACAGCCGAACAATCGCAGCAGCAATGCGGATGAGGTGCTGCCGACGGTGACGACGACCACCTTAATGCCCGCCCATGACGAGCGACTGCGTCAAACGCTAGACGTGCGATGGCCGAGTGCCGAAATGAGTGTCAGTCCTGTACGCTTGCGCACCTATCCCAAAGCGCCGGTGGAGGTCACTCTGCGCTTTCCCGATGTCAACTGTGAGCGGGCGTTGCATCAGGAGCAGCTGCCTGAGTTCTGGCTGGAGCTGATCTACTGCGGCAAGGAGCGCAGCTGTGCCCAAATCTCACCGCAGAATATGTCCAAATCGAGTATTTTGTTTGCGGAACAGATACGTGGCTATCCCAAGCACAAGTCCCTGAAGCTGCGGTGCGAACTCTTCGGCCTAGCCGGAAACTATGCCGTCCAGCTACGCCCCATGCTGCCGGCACCCAATGTACCAACCACACGACGCCTTCTGAGCGTCGATTGGAGCGACGAGTTCGTTTTCAATGTCTATGCCCGCAGCATCTTTCCCTGTGATCCGCACACCGGAATTGGTGTGCTCTACGAGTACCCGGGCTGCATACTCGAGCAAGGCGACCGGGTACGCCTCTATGCCAAGCTGCGCGCCGATGTGGCCTCCTTGAAGCCGCCCACTTCGCTGCACTATGTCGCCGAGCAGCGGGTGGTGAAGAGTCAGTACTCTCTCTACTTCAATTGCGACCTATTCTCCGAAAAATACGTAGAGTATTGCTTTGTCTACGTCAGTCAAGCCATTTCGGGTGCGGTGGCCGATGTGCGAATGGATTGTGTGCCCACTTTGCCAGTAAGCGGTAAGTCCAGACCTTTGAGAACCTTAAACTTATTTTTGAATTCTTAGGGGAATATAGAAGTCGCATGGATTCTTTATGGAATACAAATAATTAATTCATGTACGAAAAGAATCATATACGAGTGCAAAATATTCACTAAATTTATTGTTTCTACATTAAACTTCATGAGAATGCTCAATGTTTTTAAAAAACATTAAAGTATTTTATGGGTGGCGTATGTCGACTTTAATTAACTAACAAAAATAAAAATCAATTTGGCACAGTTTTGTTTTCCAAAAATTGGTTTAAATGCTTACTTAAATGCCTTTTATCTGATAACAAGCCTTTAACAAGTTATATATAAACCAATGAAGTCCATATGATAAGTCGAAATTAATTGAGAATCAGCTGAAAATTCCGATAAATAGAGTAACGCATAATTTAATTAAATTCAAAATCTGAAAGAGAGCCAATAATTAGGCATAACTATTTAGTAGAACCATAATATGGATAAAAAAAAAACCCTCAAGAAAAGCGTACTTTTAGGCACAATGTTTAATGTAGCTGCCTCTGCCAAGATTTCAGATAATTTTAATGATATTAAGTGAACAACATAAGCAAAAAAATTGCCAAAAAGAATAAAATTTATCTTAAAAAGAATAAATTTGTAAATGTGTTCTATTAACTGAAAATTTAGTTCTATAAAAAAAACAAATCAAATACACTTCCCTTGCAAGAAGAAGAAGTTTTAAATTTAGTTATAACTGTGGAAGTTTTGACTGCTCACCAAGATTTGTAGGTGTTTATGGTAGAGTTTTGTAGAAACACACAAACTTTCTTAGTCAACTGTATTATTATTTAAAACCTTCAAGTTTAAACAAATATAAATGCCCAATAGCGACTCGTAATTTTAGATTCTTTAATGTTATATTATAGTATTAAGTGCAGGTATCATGTTTGCTAATTTTACTTTGAAATTACACAGATTCTGACACTGGCGGCTGGGGTCCTTGGAGCGACTGGACACCGTGCTCGAGCAACTGTATGGGAGGCACTCGAAATCGCTATCGCTTTTGTGATTCACCGCCGCCCCGTTACGGAGCCAAGTTTTGCGAGGTTAGTATCGGAGATGGAATTGTGTAACCTTGTGGGATAAGTACAAGTATTAGCGAACTTTCTATGGCATGCCTTCTGCATTCCCGATGCGAGTGCTTAAAGCTGTCAACAGTGGTTTCTCTGCGCACTCACATAAACTATATTTTGTAGGCCATACAGTTTGTGGCACGATTGTTGGTGTACAAGTTGGGCGTTTAGTTCATGTTTCACTTTTTGAGCCCAGCCCAGCCCAAGCCAAAACACGCAGACAGCAAAGTGCCGACAGGCTTATGTTGCATTCTTGTGCTTCTATCTATCTCTCTGTCTGACTGTCTGTCTGCCTGTCTGTCTGTCCGTATGCGTGAAAACATGGCGACACTTGCTCCAGATTGCGTGGGGAATTTACGGCGCTTTTCCAGTGCACACAAACAATCGCAAACTACAACGACTAGAACGAACGAGGCGGAGTAGAAACAGGAGACATTTTATCACACTTATGTAGATCTTTTGTTGTGCCTGACAGACCAGCTCCACAACACACACCTACCCAGTACTTCGCCCCTATCTGCTTCATTATGGCAAAAACTTCTGGAATCTGGCAATAGAAGCACACGCGCCAAAATGAAGAGCATATTTGCTTCTCCTACTCATAGCAGTACTATTCGTAGTTTAGCACAAACTGTTCAGAACAATTACAACAAAAGTTTTTTAATGCGCCTTCGGAGTAATTTTTGTGCAGAGCTCCCTTCCCATCCATGGACTCGCATCTCTCGTATCTCTGTGTCGAATTTGAATGTCGAATGCTAGCGCAGATTTTCTGAACATGTGCCTTATGTTCAACTATTCCATGAGTCTCGTTGTCATTGTTGGAGCAAGTGCCCCGGGCATAAAATTAGAAATGTAAAATGCCTATATAGTGTGTGCGTGTGCGTGTGTGTGTGTGAATGGGCGTTCATATTTGTATATACATAGTGTACTACATAGTATATGTGTGTGTATGAAGAACAATAAGACAAAACTTGTTTCATTGTTCATGGCTTGAATCGGGATCAAGATATCAACGACTAGCAATAACCCGGAATACTTAATACAGACAACAAACCTGCAGACGAAGAAATCTAAATTATTCAGCAGAACACAAACACTGTTCATAAAAAAAAAAAAACAGAACTTTGTTTTGCATCTATTGTGGCTAAACTGCAAGGCTTCGGTAGTTGATGTTATTTAAAATAGGAATATCGCAAATATAACAATCCATTGCTATATTTTTAAAATATTAGTAATTGTAAGGTACTGAAAAAATATTAATTTGAAGTTATAAATAATTAATCACACAAATAAGTTTAAGATAAGGATCTACATTATCTGTTATTAAAAGTTCGCGGCTTTAAGCAAAACTATATATATATATATATATATATATATATATATATATATATATATATATATATATATGTATATATATATATATATATCTAATACTTTTTTATAAGGCAGAAACACAAATTCCAACTAAACTTTAAAAAGCTGTTGCCTTTAATGCGGAATGATTAAATGCGGAATCAATTTTTTTGTGAAAGTTTTGGTGAATTACAAAATCCTGAAGGAGCTAAATATAGAAGAGCGTTGTCGTGATTTCATTACCGTTTCCTTTTGTTAATAACTATTTAGAATTGAATGGAACAATTTTTTGTTTCCAATCACGCTTTATTAATTTTAGTAATAATGACTGTTTTAATTGGTTATCTAATACTTTTTTAAAATAAATATGTAAATCGATTTTTACTTCATGGACAATTAATTGAAATAATTTGAACAACAATTTTACCAGCTATTATTTTACTAATTATCACTTTCCCATCTGTTCGATTATTATGTTTACTAGATGAAATCAATTCACCATCAGTAACTTTAAAATCAATTGGTCATCAATGATATTGAAGTTATGAATATTCAGATTTTAATAATATTGAATTTGATTCTTATATAATTCCAACAAATGCATTAAGACTGAATACCTAGCTTAAGTTGTACTTGTATTTACGTTTAAGAATAATTTAACAGTATAATTAAAAAAGAAAGAATTATCAAATGATGATAATCGTATTTTTTTTACCAATAAATTCACAAATCCGAATTCTAGTAACAACTGCGAATGTAATTAATTCTTGAACAATCGCAACTCTTGGAGTAAAGGTTGATGGAACTCCAGGACGACTAAATCAAACTCATTGTTTTATAAACCGCCTAGGATTATTTTATGGCCCAGGATTATTTATAGAATGTTCATAAATTTTTAACGCACATACGTATATTTTTAAATGCATACTTTCCTCAATTTTAAAAATGTGTGCAAAAATACCAGATTGGTGGAACTGGCGAAACATTATCAATGCTTTCGAAATCATCGTTCCTCTTCCGCGCAAAGCTTTCATAATTTGTTTCCAAAGAGCTTTGTAATATAAAGCACATATCCTTGACAACAAACATTTTGTTTATCACAATTTTAGTTGAAAATTCCATAGCAGTAGGGAAGTATGAAGTTGCCAAGCAGACGACTGCCATTCATTTAGAGCAATCAAATATACGAGTACACAACATTTTCACACAATACGATTGATAAAAGTTACGAGCCGATAAAATGCCGCCCAAAAAGAAAGGAAAGAAGAAGGAGAAAAAGGATCCGAATAAGCTTTCACAGGTGGACCGCACTTTCTATGAATTGACGGTGACCGATTTGAACCAGAAGCTAGCGCGACTACGGGCGCACCTTTCAAACCTAGATGAGACCAACATCACCTTAACAGAGAAGTTGCGCGAAGTCGAGTACGACAGGAGCGATGTCGCCGCACATTTGGAGCGAACGCTGGCCGAGAGGAATAACACAATCACCGAGCTGGAGGAACGGCTGGTGGAAATAACAAAGGTGCGTGATGAGGAGAACCGGATAGCACAGGAGACAATTGCGGATCTGGAGGCCAAGTACAAGGCTATGCACGATCAACTGACTTCGGAAATAAAACTGCTGAATGGCAAACTAAATTCGCTGGACGAGTTTCGCATACAACGTGACATACTGCTGGCAAAGTTTGATGATCAGGAGGCTGATCTCAAGGAGAAGGAGAAGGAGCACAAGGAAGCACTGTACAATATGGAGCAACGCGCCGTGGTGGAGAAAGATGCTCTCAAAAAGGAGGTGGAAGCAAAGTTGCTTCAAGTTTCCGAGGACTTTACGCGTTCCAGCGAGATTCGCAACGCCGGCTACACGCGCCGTTTGATTCGGGAGAACATTGCCCTACAGAAGGAGATTGACCAGCTGGTAACGTCCCAAATCAAGCTTCAGCTGCAATTCAATAACCAGAGGAACCAGCACAAAGAAATGGCCGAGCAGTATGGCGTACTGGATCAAATCAAGAACGAACTGGTTCGCAACTCGGTGAACAAAATAAAGATTATCGAGGGTCTGACCTCCAACTACGAGAAGCTCAAGGCCAAGTATGTGGAGATGGTGCGCTATCGCAAGGCATTCGAATCGCAGCAGCAGGAGGAGCTTTGCGAGCAGATAAAACAGAAGGACGCGACCGCCAAACTGCGCGCCTTGGCCAAACGCATGGAGATCCTGACGCTCGAGAACAAGAACCTGGTTGTCGTGCATGATCAGCATGAGATGGAAATTGTGCGACTTCGTGGCGTTATAACCGAAATCAAGATGACAGTGCGCGACGCCATCATAGCCGATCAAGCTGCCAAACTTTTCCCACAACGACTGATCGAAGCCAATAAGGACGATCCAATGGTGATTGAGGAAGTAAGGGTCGATGCTGCAGCCTTGTGCAAGCTCACTCGCATCGACCTATTGACGCAGCTGATGAACATCATAAGCTCGCATTCAGAGGAGCTTCCACGGACGCCATCGATCGCTTCGATCGAGAGCGCCACATCGTCTCTCTACGCTCCTGGCAAAATGGGCTTTTTACAGCAGAAGCCTAAGGCCACGGCTACTGAAATATTCAAGACCGAGGTAGTGGATCAATCGGTGGCTACCACACTGCCAGACTATCTTCAAAAGGACCAAGACAAACTACTAGTCTCTCATCGCCGCGGCGACGAGCTCTCCATCATTGATGTTGAGTTCGGCACTACACTGTATGTGTCCTCCTCACGTGAGGATGAAGCTATCGAAATAGAAGAGGAGCCACTTGAGGAGCCCGAGGGTTCAAGCAGTTCCGTGTCGGTCAAGAAGTCTAGTGAGGGCAGCGCCCCACCTCCTAGCGCTATCCCATTGGCTAAGAACGTGTCCTCCGAGCTTCTGAAAGATGTGGAACGGAAGTCAGTCAGCACAAGTGAAGTTCAATCTTCCGGTCAATTTGAAGAGTTCGAGGACGTGGAAGAGGAAGACGAATTTGAGATTAACTTATTTTATTAGTCATGAGTGTTTTTAAAGCATTATGCAGCTATCTATGGTTTACGTTTCGACAAAATAAAGGCTTAATTTAAATTGCTCGTAAGAGAGAAAAATTGCAAACTTCTTCAACAACTTTGGTTTATGGATCAAAGAAGAAAATAAAACAAAGGCATCTTCGTTTTTACGAAATAGCTGCCAAAAAAGCCAAGAAACCTTCTTGTGTGTTAAAAAAGGCTTGTGTGTTAAAAAAGTCAGACTAGTACAGAATCAAACACATACATATATTCTTTTGCGTTATTAATAAAATTTGATTTGAATTTCTTTTCATATATCGCATAAAAGGCATCTTCGTTTTTACGAAGTATAAGTTTCCGTTTAGAGTAGCTGCAAAAAAAGCCAAGAAAACTTCTTGTGTGTTAAAACAAACTTGATTGTTAAAAGAGTCTGACTAGTACAGAATCAAACACATATATTCTTTTGCGTTATTAATAAAACTATAATTTGATTGGAATTGCTTTTCATATACTGCATAAAAGGCATATATTAAAAGGCATCTTCGTTTTTACAAAATAGAAGTTTCCGTTTAGAGTAGCTGCAAAAAAAGCCAAGAAAACTTCTTGTGTGTTAAAACAAACTTGATTGTTAAAAGAGTCTGACTAGTACAGAATCAAACACATATATTCTTTTGCGTTATTAATAAAACTATAATTTGATTGGAATTGCTTTTCATATACTGCATAAAAGGCATATATTAAAAGGCATCTTCGTTTTTACAAAATAGAAGTTTCCGTTTAGAGTAGCTGCAAAAAAAGCCAAGAAAACTTCTTGTGTGTTAAAACAAACTTGATTGTTAAAAGAGTCTGACTAGTACAGAATCAAACACATATATTCTTTTGCGTTATTAATAAAACTATAATTTGATTGGAATTGCTTTTCATATACTGCATAAAAGGCATATATTAAAAGGCATCTTCGTTTTTACAAAATAGAAGTTTCCGTTTAGAGTAGCTGCAAAAAAAAAGCCAAGAAAACTTCTTGTGTGTTAAAACAGGCTTGATTGTTAAAAGAGTCTGACTAGTACAGAATCAAACACATATATTCTTTTGCGTTATTAATAAAACTATAATTTAATTGGAATTGCTTTTCATATACTGCAGGGTACATCGGTGCAAACGGAAAAATGTGGGAATAGCATTGCAAATGCCTGGGACTGTATCTACGAGGCAAGTGGAACTGCCACGACCACATCGAATGGAACGGGGGTTAGCCAGGAAATCGGTCCTGGCTGCCGTTGCGGTTGCATTGTACACTTGGGCTCCTCCAAGCCCAAACGCATAATAGCCGGCGCCACTCAAAGCTGCCCAGGACGCTCCTTTTGGCTTATACAGGTAAGCAACAAAATAAAGTAATTTTTAGCAAAAAAAAAAAAATGATAAACTTCTAGTTCGCTAAAGTGGACAAAACTTTAGTCGTCGATTTTCTCAGTCAAGTGGAAGTTTATATATTTTTTTTTACTTAATACTTAAACGTGGCATTTGACCGTTGGTCATTGCTAAAGTTTTGCAAAGTTTTTGTTGCTGCTGTGGCGTCGACGGCCCGTAATAGCCATAAAATGAACTATGCCAAATATTCAAAATTGTGTATGAATAAAATTCCAGCCGGCTTTAGACGCCAACACACACAAGGGCATTGTGGGGATCGTCCTTTAATCTGTCGTGGTGCAAAAAACCGTCTGCAATCCGCACATAAGTAGAAGCGCAAAAAAATGTGTATTGAAAACGGACAAAGGGGGGGGAACAATAGTTTTCATAGAAGAGTACGTGGGGCTGTTGTGAACAGTTCATGCATAATAAACGCGCCATTGTATTATCTTGCGGGTCGGGGCGAACAACCAATTTATAGAGGCCCTTGCCATCGATGAACCCAATATCTATGACCATATAAATAAGTCCCCCTCTTTGTCGCTGGATAACTTGTTTAGGTCAGTAGACACACTTTTTTTCTACCTTGCCTTTGAACTCCACTTAATTGAGTCAGGCATCGCCACCCCTTTGGATTGACACGTTAGTTGTGGACAGTTTTTCCCTTCATAGACGTGACTATGCGTTCAATAACCCCTATTTCACTGTTTTTTTACTCACGCCTCTGCCATAGGATTTTTATGACTTGGGGGCACATTATGCGAAACGTGCCATAATTATTCGAATGTCATATCCGCGCGAGTAGGGGACCGACCTGAGAGCCGTTCCACTTGTTCGCACTAGTTACTGGGAATAATTACATAGATACTTGCACTTTCTCTATAATTTTCCAAAGATGCTGCTGAGAATGAAAAAAAGTAAGCTGTGTATCCAATTATTAATTGTAGCGTATTAAGGACATTTGCAACGCACTGCTTTATCGTGCTTTTGCACACAAAAATGTTTCAATATTTACAACAATTCCTTCTCAAATTGGCAAAGATACAAATATATCTAATTGTAAGCTCCTTTATGGCAAGTGAACTCCTTCGTTGTGCCAAGGGTAAGGCCAGAGTTATGGCACGCCATAAATCAAAGCAAAGTGTTTAAATAATTTATTGGCACTGGGGGAATACCCTGAGTGGGAGTATAGGCCGATTCAATGAACTGCAAACTGGCAAAAAGGACTGGTAAGTACAGTACTCGTACATGTACCTTAAAGTCACTGGCAAACAAACACGCAGTCGGTTAAGGTCTGTGGGCACATACCACAAACATACGTTCACTCGGCTACATACACAATGAAATTGCTATATACGAGTACATACAAGTGTATATACAAGTATTGTTACTATACCCGCAGGTCGATGGTGAGGAAACCATTTCGCTGGCACTAAACTTTCTACGTCTGCCCTGCGCCGTGCAGTACATAAAGGTACGAGACGGACCGTCGCTCTCGTCCACGCTGCTCATTGAACTCAATGGTGCTTTGGCAAGCCTCAGAGGTGGCGATGCTGGCAGTCAAAGCACTGTACCACTTACCATCGAGTCCAGTGGCGCACAATTGCTGTTGGAATTCTTTGCGGGCGATGAAATCAGTTCTGCGGCAAATGCAGCAACGACATCAACATCAACAACAACAACAACAACACCGTCCCACATCGGCGAGGGTGTACCGTCGTGCAACGGTGGCTTCATGGCCCATGTGGAACAAATGGGTAGGTGTTGAAGTTAAAGCGTGAAATAATGAAAGTATAATGTTCTTATAAATTCCTCCTCATTCAGTTGCCAAGAATGCCAGCGACACCACGCTACTGGCCGCCACGCGTCTCTCAGTCAAAAGTCGTGTGGTTTTGCAGAAACCCAAGACGCGAATTCGCTTCACCATTGTCCATTTGAGCGCTATGGTCTTTGCCAGCATTATCATTTTGATAAGCGCCCTGCTTGGTAAGCTAAGAGTTTCATATTTTCCTTCCTTACTCCAGTCTAATTCCAATGCCATTTACAGGCGCCCAATATATGGTGCGTTATCGCAAGTATCATCTGGCCGTGGCAAGGCGTCAGGACGAGGGCTCGCGTCTCCATACACCACGTGCTTCAATAAGTTCGCTGCACACACCGCCCTCACGGGCTATCTCCACAACTACGCTGCTATCCGAGGTCATATTTATGGTCAAAATGAGGCCGAAACATCAGCTGAGGCATTCCATACTGCGCGAGAGCGTCGATGCTGAGAATCTCGCGCATGAAACCGAATTCAATGAGACTGGCTCAAGGGAGAAGATGGTTAAGTGGTGAGGAAATAAATCAATTTATTAGGGAAACCCCAGATGTATTGATAAAGATTGCGGTATAGCTTAGAGCATGAACACAATTTTCTTTATCTTTTGCAAATAATATAAAGTCTATGGGTGGTTTGGAAATGTTAGGGACTGGAGTACCAACTTCTTTTTTCTGTTGTTTTTTTTAAATATTTTTTATGATCAATATTCACAGACTGACCCTCTTAACGAGAGATCATATATATCGGTACCGGGACACCGGAATATAGCGGGGAACTGCATTGCAGACGTTTAAAGTTTAAGAGAACAGAAGTCTCAATGATACTAGGGCTACTCACTGGACACTGTCCGATTGGCCGTCATGGCACTTGACATCCCACATAACGATTTATGTAGAAGCTGCAGAGACGTAGCAGAGGAGGAAAGCACAGAGCTGTCTGGCACTGCCCTGCCTTAGACCAAGATTAGCTACACTAGGGTGACAATTTCTTAGCAAACCAAGTATTATTCGAATTCCTCAAACATTCCAGCTGGTTTCGGGCAAACCATTACAATCAATATAATCCCTATTGGCCTCACAACGGGCCTCTTTTGGCCCAAGTGGGCGGGTGTGAACAACACCCAAGCCATCACTGCCTAACCTGACCTATGACCAATATTTAATTTACGTTTTAATTTGGAGTTATTTATTTAAGATCGAGAAGTTCGGGTTATAGTTTATATAAGGCCTATTTCAAAGTCATTCATTACTTTAATTGGCAAAGGCACAAGACTTTATTAAAGATTTTTATTTCCGTACTCCAGTGGTTCGTTCTTTCCTACGAGTACCTTAGCTTCTCCTTCACTAAACAACGACAATCAGTCGAATTGCAGGAACAACAAAAAGAGTATATATGTGTGCGTATAAAGAATTTCCCACCATTTCTTTGCAGTGAGGAGACTGCAGAATTTGGCAGCACGGGATCCATTGTAACGCTGCGCAACGAGTGCACATCGCTAACCTCTCCGGACTCGGCCAGCATGGTGCGATCGCCGTCAAGCGATGAGCTGGCTCCTCTGGAGTGCAGTAATGATGTAACCGAGATCACAACCCATACACAGCCATATAGCTGCAAGGACAGCGCCAAAGATGCTGAATCCATCATATCATCCGGCATGAGTTCATTGTGCAATAGTCCGCCCATGAATAGCAAACGACTGAGCAAGTACTCCGATCGTTTTGATGCGGTAACTCTAAAGCTTCACAATTCACGCCTAGACGATAGTCAACAGGATGCCAGCTCGTTGAATTCGGGCTCCTTGAGACTGGGACGCATGGGTTCGCGCAGCGTCAGCGCTTCGCTAACGAATGTGAGTTGGTATAAACGTCGTACCAGGTATTTGGAACTGTTCATTTCATGGCTAATAAAGTCGTTTAACTTGCAGGGCTGTTATTCGCCCGCTGCCAGTGTGATTAGCACGGCCACCATACGAACCACCAATGCGAAGGAGTCGAAGGAGCAGCAGAACCGCAAGAAACTGTTGGCGCGGCCTGGTTCCGAATTCTCGCTCGGCAATCAGGAGGAATTGGAGCTCGACTACTACGATTACAATGTAATCAATGCAGGCTCTGCGCCGGGCTCTTACCTTGGCATGGATCCAGCCTATTTGATATGGATACCACCGTTTGAGGATGTTGCCGAGCGGGAGGATGATGATAAGACGCCAGAGCCGGCGGCCACGACGCAACCACTACTCCAAGAGACTGAGACTAAGTACGAGGAAATCAAAATGCCCAAATATGGTCACTACTTGAGTCCTGCCAGCAATACAGAGTCCAGCAGCAAATCCACCACCGCCGATAATACTCCCAGCTCGGATGAGATTTCCCCGCTTAGCAGCCAGCAGCAGTCAACGGCCAGCTCGCCTAGTGAGTCCAATCTGAAGATCTGCATAGCTAATGCCCAAAAGGCACTGACTAGAGCTTCTGGAAAGCAACTCACGCCTTACATGTCGCGCAAACAGCGTCGGCAGGCCCGACAGCAATTCAAATCCACGCAATCGCTGAGAGCGGACTCTGCAGCTGAGTCCATCAGGGGATCTAAGTCTGCCCGAGAGATCGCACCCGTGCATCGAGCTTGCGCCGAGCTGGCGGTCAAACCAGATGGAGATTCGGATGCGAATGACTCAATGAATGGCTCGTACATAGAGAAGGAGACTGCCGTGGAGAAATCACCAAGTGATCTACAGGAGTTTCTGGCCCTGGACGACATCCAGTTTGCTGACGAGAGTGGCAGCGACTATGAGGCAGTCACACTAAAGCGGCAATCAATCGAGGAGCCGGCAACAGTAGAAGAAACGATGTTCGTGGATAAGAAGCATGCAAAAAGTGTAGCTTCGAAGGAGGTGGCAGTGTAAAGGACACATGTCGAGATTGTATATAGATCTGCACAAATAAAAGAAATACTAAATAGAACTAATGGCGAGTCTTAAATGACTATCATATACTTACATATATAATGAACTATACCATAACTAATGACGCGTTGGTTCAGAATAGGCAGGAGCTAGTATTTAAAGAAAAACAACCAAATATTAATCATTCGATATGTTATTTCGTGTACCGAGATTCTCATAGAAATTATTATATAAATATAAAAGTTCAGCTCAAAATATGCATACAGAAGAAAATCCAAGTTTTGATTTAAAATTCAAAAGAAATCAAAAGAAAAATTGGAAATCAAGGACTTCAATTAAATCGTAATCTATACTTTAAGTATAAATATCAAAGTTAATTTAAGTTAAGCACATTATTGTTTTAATGTTTAAGATCATGTAAATAAATACGGGAAAAGAAATATAAATATAATTACATATATATAAATAGATAAACTAGTTTCGTTTGAAGATCATTAATGCATCCTCTATGCCATAATTATTTATTAGTTCCTCTTTCGATCTCCCAAGACATTATATTTGATATTAGAAAATTTCAATTGCGGCCTTTTTGTGATTATTATTTACTTATTTCATGTACTATATAAATTTCTAGTCAAAATTTACAGTAGATCTACGGCAATACTCAAGAAAAAATGTATGTAGAGCTGTTTATTCTTATGTAAGTATTTATTGTAATTGCTATTTAATGTACTTTGCTTAAAATGTATTTATGTTACGCCTTGTTTTCACAACCTTCATTTATGACTGTACAAATAAATGCAAATAACATATACATACATATGACGATTTTTATTAAATACTAGGGGATCGGATGTGCTTCGCTCAGTACTTTGTGGACATTTAACATGTCAAAATAAAATTGTCTTCATGTGGATCAATCACATTGTAAACGAACCCTCCTATTTAGTATTAAATAGTGTTACCAGCTCATCGTAACTTGTGAGAGACCATACTCGTCATAAATTAAATTCAACGCATTTTCTTTATAAACGAATGAGTGTAGCCGATTTACCACCAGCCCTCAGAAAATAAATAAGTATTCTTTCAGCCTTTTTTCAATCATAATTGAATACTTTTTCTTCCAAAACAAGGGTCCAATTCAGTCTGCAATGTTTTTTTTACTTTTGATACATATTTAAAACATATTGATGACAAAATACGAACATATTTCTGAAAAATACTAAATTCGGGATATAAACTATCCTATATTTTAAGTTAGACCACATTACAGCTACATGTGAAATTTGATAAAAATCTGTTCAGTAGTTTCAGTCTGCAACTATCTTCTTCTGAAACTTTCAGAGTCCATCGAGAACAAACATTGTGACTCGATATTCGTATATATATATATACTTCTTACTTCTATGGAGAAAGCGAAAGCTAACTATTGAAAATGTTCAGCTCTTGTTAGGACTGACTTGGAAAGATTATGTTTGCACAGCTCTTCGATATCATTTCTATATCAATGTTAAATATATTAACATATTGGGGGAGAGTGGGGTGTATTCTTTCTCTTAAAAACTTGAAACTCCTTTTAGTGAATTATATGACTTCACAAAATGTATTCTTAAAAGCACTTCTAATTTTTCAACTCAATAAGATTAAAGCTGAAATCTAAGACATACAAATATTTTCGATGGCATTGAGGCTCTTGCTTTTCATAGAACTTTAATTGGTTTTCCTAAATAATTGAAATGGGAAAAGAGCAAAAGCTGCGGGGATAATGCAAAAAGCTTGTCGATGGATAAATTTCTGGTATATTTCTAAGACACCAACCCTGCACAAACTTGTGGTCAGAGCCTTAAAGCTTTTACAGGGTGAGGGTACCATGTTTTTCAAATTTATTTTAACGTTACCATATGATTCATATACTTGACTAAAATTTTAAAATACAAACACTTGCCTTCCAGTGAAACAGCAGCATTCTGTGCAGTCTTAAGTAAATCTGCACAGAATGGTGTTGCATTAATGGAAAGCACTTGGATATATTGGCTCCTTTCTTCTTTCTTCCGCACAACAGCCAGTAAGAGTCCTGGCGATAAAGGCATCACATTCATCTAGAACTTTGTAGCAGTGCGCTAATACACTGTAAGTATTTAATTTGGACTGATTTTGTTCTTCTGCCTTTAAGGGGTTAATTTGTGGCGTGAACAATTTATTCTGGGCGATATAGGCTTTCAATTCTTGGCGCTTTTTCTCTTTTTTCATTTCTTCAATTAGGGCAGCACCTGGGTCGTCTTCCTTCTTGTATTGATTCATATGGTTACAAATACAGCAGTCCTTGCATGCATAAGTGGGCTCCGCCTGTGTCGCTTGATCCTGAGTTTTTTCATTCGACGTCGACTTTCGTATCACCTTAGGTTTGGGTATTTCTTTCACCTTTAGGGTGCCCGGCCGCCTCGGCTTCGGCTTAACCTCTTCCACAGAAATCTCACATGATAAGAGTGGACGATCGTTGTCTTCGGAATTTTCTTCTTCGCCTAATCCCTCGGATAGACTTACAGTAGCAGAGCCAGATGCTTCTTCAAGTTGCGCTTCGTCTTCGGCATTTCCTTCAGCATCTCCTTCAGCATTTCCTTCGGCATTTTCTGCAGCATTTCCTTCAGCATTTCCTTCAGTATTTCCTTCAGCATTTCCTTCAGCATTCCCTTCAGTATTCCCTTCAGCATTCCCTTCAGCATTACCATCAGCATCAGCTTCTTTTTGGCTTTCAGACCTGCTAGTTATCGATTGGTTTTCACTTGAAGTGGCGGAGGACACCAGCGGAATCGTGATGTTCTTGGGCATTTTGCTAGAATCTCTGCGAGATGAACGAAAACTTTTCGATTTTCCAGATTTTTGATTGATATGCTTCTTCTTGGTTTTATGCTTTGTTGGAGGACAGATGCACGTAGAACTAAGAGATATTTCATCAGTCATGCGAATAACAAAACTCGCCGCAGGAGACGATATTTTTGCCTTTTTGCTTCGCTTTTGGCCTTTAGATGGGACTTGAAAAATATTTATGATTTTAATGTCTCCATTTTGCAGTGCCTGTCTGAATAATTCGCTTGAACTTATGCTATATTTTTTACAGACCTTCTTGCCGCCTTTTTGTCCATTTAGTAGACATTCATTTTTATATTTCGGGGCATCATTTGTCACCTTTTCGCCTCGCTGATCGTACTGTAGGAACTCATTTTTATCCTCGCCGGTTTTATAAACATATCTGCAAGCTTTGTTGTGCAAATGTGCTTCAATCTTGTTTTGTTTATTGGGAAGAAACTCTTTTTGGCTATCCTTTTTAAAAGCATGGCTCGATGTCTTAGCGAGAGCAGTCCCTTCCAAAAACTCGTTAGCACTATTTGAGCAGCTCTGCTTAATATTGTGTAATGATTTCTTTCCCTGCGATCGTGCAATATATGGATCGGTAAATGATGATACTTGAATGCTCTTCTTTCGCAGTGATGCCTCAAAGGAACTTGTTTCCCTTAGCAATCCCCTAGACAACGAATCGCTTTGCGAGGCATCGAGAAGACTAAAGAACGATTGCTTTTCGCGCTCTTTGTTTTGAATGTATTCATTTTTTAAGTAAGTCTCAATTAGGCTGGATTGTGTCCTAGTTAGCGGAACATCGCCACACTTTTTCGGCTTTCTTTTACACAAAGTCGTTTTTGTGCAAGAGTTGGTCTTAGCTGTTGGCCAAGCAAAAGTCCTGCGATCACTTTTATCAATTTGATGAAGTAGGTTATCGATTGAGTTGCTTAAATATTCTGGCGCTGCCTTCGGAAAGACGTATCTAGCAAATTTCGCCATTACACATTTGAAATTTTGCTTAAAACCCGAATGAGAGCTGTTTTTTTTTTTTTTTGAGTTTAGAAACTATTAAACTAATGCATTTTAATTTTTTTGAAAAGCATACTACGTACTATTGTTTGGGAAGGATTTTTGTAAAAGTAGATTTTAAGATTTGATGCCAAGAAAGAATATTATTTAATTGGTTTTCGATATTGACAAACAATATCTATGGCTGAGATAAAACGAACGTATTAATTTCTATATAAATAAAAATACATCTGCAAATTTAATTTGTAAAAGACTGAAAGAGTAAGGTTTTATTTCGCAGTTTGGAATGCTTGTTAAAATGTTATTTATTTTGTTTAAATTTGTAAGCATATGCATAGAATGACTAAAACATGTAAACCATTTAGTTTAGTTATTAATGACTTAACTAATTAATACGATTTCGCTTATAACCTTGCTGGCCTGGGCTAGAGTTATTGGTCCTATCGCGCCCATTTGCTTTGGTAATTATTAATTGTAATGTTGATATCTAAGCATATATTTATAATAAAACACTGTAAAAAATCAAGCTTATTATCAGTAGGTCTGTTTTGATTTGAAATTCCTTGATTATTATAAAAATTTATTGTGACATAATAAAAAATGCTCCCGAATTCGGTACAGATTTCTATATTCATGTAAGCATTCATTAAAAATCTCATTTTCATTCCAATTTTATTTATAATTTATTGTTGAACCTATAAATTTTGGTATGTTGCAAGCTTAGAAAAAGATTATACAAATCAACAAACATACATACATGCATCTTTTGTTTGCTTTTAGAAACAAACAATTAGGCGAAACCTAGAGGTACATACGAGTATTTCTTTAGGATTTTTAATTTTTAAGTACACACATCGATACATTCACAATATATATAGTTTATATATTTATTTTGGTCAAAGTACAATTGACACCTCTTATGACGCATAAATCATGGATTAAAATACAAACGCCCATCTTTTTGGATACATTTTTAATCATTTGAATACAACACGATACTCAGAATGCGGCTTACTTTTGATCCCTCTGTTTTATCTGATTATATTATTAGGTTATATGTGTATATATATTTTTAGTAAATTTATATATATTTTTGCCAGATACATATGGTAGAATAAAGCTTCGTCGTTTTTCCTGCGCCCGCAATGTTCTTTTCTGATTAGTTAAAGAATATTTTTGGTTGCTTAAACAATGGCTTCGGAGAGTTTTTTAGATTTAATCTTCAAATCGTATAAAGCTTAGAAATCTGTTTGACAATTCTTTCAATTCACTGCCAATTATGCCACTAAAGAAATATGAATATTTTGTTTACTTAAAAACTTATCTATAGGTACAAGTTAAAGGTAATAATAATCGTAATAACAATAAACATTTGTGTAAATTTGCTTAAAAATTATACAAAATATACAAATGCAAGTGGAAATGACAGTTAGTGCTCTTCATATTGATAATTATTTATTATGAGAAGGTAGTTGTAAGAAAAAGCCAATTAACATCCGAGTGTTTTTTGAGAGATCTTTCTTGTTATACTTGTATAAATAATTAAAACATTTTATTTGGACAAAACCAGTATATATGTATATGAATATGTACATAATTGTGTGTATAGGATAAAGAGAGGGGAATACTTAAAGCTATATATATGTTAATAAATATGGATTTGTTACGGCGACACAATAGTATTTTAGGAAAATTGATCTTTAACCTTAAAAGTATTGAATATAAAATGTTGTTCGAGCTGCACAAAAATATGCCTCTATAGTAAAGCTGGTGCTAATATTGGAGTCGAGTTGAGGAGTTGGAAATGAATACATAATTACTTTGGATCAACAGCGTCTGCCTCGCAGTCAGTGGGATCTATATCCTGTTCAACGACCGCAGTATTTTTCGATATTGCATTGGCCAACTTAGTAACACTATCCGAGGGATTCTGAATGGTTCGATGTGTCGAACGGCGGCGCATATCCTCTTCCTGTTGCTGTTTTCTATGTAAATCACTTAACCGGAACGCCTCCAGAAACTCATTCAGATCCACTTTGCCATCGCCATTGAGGTCCATCATGCGACATTTTTCCAACATCTCCTCCTTCGAATAAACACCGGGCATGTGAGCTACCAACAAATCAATAGCTGTTTCGAACTCGTCCAACGTTATTTCGCCTATATTGGTGAAATTTTGAATCATTCCACATGTGTAAGATATTCTTTATACAAATACCTGAATTATCAGCATCTATAATATTGAAAATGGTAACAAGACTGCTCTTATTGGCATACAAGGCGTCCATCACTGTTGTGCCATCTGCCTCGGCTTCCATCTTTATGAGAATGTAAAGAATTTCAGTGAGTTTAATGATAAAATAATTGATCTTATATAATCTGCCTATAGATTGCAACATATTTGATTTTATATGTATTAAATTTTAAAATATTTTTCCAAGTGAAGTTCATGGGAATTGGTTGATGTTTAAAATTTAGAGTACAGTTATTGAATATTTTATGCCATTAAGTAAATATGTATACAAGTGTTAGAAACTTGCCCTTTTTCGACATAAGCCTGTTTACCAGGTTTGGTGCCTTAAGCACCCAAGTTTTCCGAGATCCTTGGGTTCATTTAAACTGACGGACAGAAGGAGGACTACATTCCTCTCCTACACCTCCTTTTCTATTTATAAAAGCATAGGTACAATTTCTCGGGGATACTTACGATCACATCAGTGTCCAGCAAGTCCAAGGTTGTGACATAGTTAACACTTTGGCTATCGGTGCCGGGTGCCAATTTGTCCCGCAATAAACGCCAAGGCAGTCCCAATTTAGTGACACTCTCCATTACACAACACCATTTCGAGATAGTTATGTGACCTGAGCCATCGGGATCACACTTCTGGAACTCCAATTCCAATTCATCGCGATGGTCCCGCATGCGTACAGCCAATTCCTTCAGTGCCGAACTCTCCACAATGCCCATGCGTTGTCTGAAGGAGAGGCGTTTTGTTTGTGATGCCGCCGATATGTATTGCACAAAATGGGGCATTAGCTGATTGTTCAGACGCATATACGCTCCCTTATTAGAGCCCATGGCATAGTAGTTGGAGGCCGAAAATATCGTAATGACCTATGTGGAGAAGAATTCCGTCACTCTATATATATACAAGTATATGTCCAATTTATGCCAAACCCAATTACCTTATTGTCGTGCATAAACTCGTGACCATTGGGCTTGCATTCATGCGACCGTATTACATAGTTGAGACGGTGTCGCTTAAGAAAAGTTTCCGTTACATCCGGTCCGAACCAAACGCCAGCACCACGCAACGTATTCGGCTTGCAGCCCTGCATGGACTGAGGATCACTCCACATGATGTCGAAAATCTAGAGGAAATAAATGGCTGCTATGACAGTTCTTCGATGCTTAGCTGATTTTAACAAACCTGTTGCCATTCCGTCTTGTCAAGAGGTTCGCCATCCGTTACTGGTGGTCGTAGTATCGACACATACTAAGAAGTTCAACATTATATTGTGATATGAAAGCGATGAATAAATGTAGAAACTTGTGTTTACCTTTCCTCTGTCAATGCTTTTGATTAGATCCAAGCTCGTGCTATCTGAGAAACCGCCATGTACGATAAGCACCCGACTATTTAGCACGGAACCGAGTGGAAGCCATCGATAAACCTCATCAATTAGCAACAGTAGTTGTTTGTAATTGCGCTAAAGAAGAGAATATACTACAAGTAGAGTCGAATATACTATGCGAAAAGTTAATGGTTATATTTTACTGGATATTTGGACTCCACTTCACGGCTGAAACCATAGCGTGCGTTCATTACACTATCTTCGTGATTGCCGCGATTCAAGAAGACCGAATTGGGAAATGCCAAGTAAAGGGAGAGTAGAAGCAGAAGAACCTCTAAGCCCTTCTTGCCTCTATCCACAAAGTCTCCATTGAATACATATGGATTGGAAGTCGATGGCAGACCATTCTAAAAGCACATTAATTTCATTTCAAAAAATTGTTCATCATCCAAACATAGAAGTGAATATTCTACCTTATAGAGCACCACAAGCAAATCATCCAGCTTGCCATGCAGATCCCCACAAACTGTGACTTGTTGCGACACTGCCGTGGATACCATCACAATATTTGGCATCTGTTTCAGGCATCGCGCTCCCTCGCGTAATATCATCGCCACATATTTTGGATGTAGACGATTGCCCTGCAAACAACACTCAATTATATATTTTGTATAGTAATAGCGAGTATATTGCCACATACCTTCTTTTTACGGAAGACATCAATCAAGCGATCTATATCATTCTTTGTAATTGGCAATTCTATTCTGGTCGATACAATATCACCAGCTTCCTCCACAAGTTCACCGTCTTCTTCTAAAATTGAGACTGCAAGTAATGGGGGAAATTCGCATATGGGGTGGAACTTAACTAGGGAACTTATCGGGTTAGTTAACTCACTTCTGGAATTTTGGTGATATTTGTTCCCTGTGGCAGCAGCTTGGGGCATATTCTTAATGAGATCATTGAAGAATTTATACAGCTGTAAACGAACAAGATGGAAATAGGTAAAATAGTAATAAAATAATAATAAATAGTAAATGGTTGTAAATTAAACTAAAAAAGCATTTTGTTTCATTTCAGTTTAAATTTTAAGCAGAACTTTAAATCGCAAATATAAGCAAATCAAATGTAATATAGTATTATGATCACAAAATGGTATTCAAAATTACGTTTATACAAGTATGAAAAAAATTAAGAATTGATATACTTTTAACCTTATAGACGGGTCAGAAATTGATTGTAAGATCTCTCAGAACTCTCACAAAATAAATACCCTGGACCCAAAATGTTCCAGGCACAGCCTATCAACTAAAATAAATATTGCCGTGCTAATCATTCATATGACTGCTGTATGATATAGTTCTCCGATTTTGATCAAACTAAAGATGTTGGCATACAATTCATAATATTTTCATATATTTTTAAGATTCCAATAAAGGAAAAAGCTAAAAAAAAGTTAAAAATATAATCATTTCATATCTTTGAACTTTCACTCAAAATGTATAAACTATCGGAATTTAAAAATTTTATAATTCTAAACCCATTGGATACACGACTGTGTATCGAGGTTGCCGCAAAAAAGTCATGCGACTTTTACGCTTCAATTGAAAAATTCGTTCATTCATTCATACACATACTACTATATGTATTATTATATCGACTTTTGAATCTTTATAAATGCAACTACTGACCGGCGAACGTGTTCTTGGCAACCTTCTAAGTTTCCGGTCACAACACACACACACACACACATACTCGCAGACAAAAAAGTTAAACACACAAACTAGTTAGTCACTTGAAAGCAAAACATACATATTATGTAAAACGTACCTCAGCCTGGTCCTGTTCGCTGGCGTACTCGAGGTTTTGAAATATTTGCCAATTGCAGCGTTTTTGCATTTCGCGGCGTGCCTGATGTTGACGATACCATTTTTGAATGAATATTGCCGCTCTTATTGCTGAAATAAAGATGTAGATATGGTATATTATTTTATCGTTGGAATATACGTTCAGTTTAACGTATTGGACAGTTTGGATATTGGTGCGAGATTTTTAAATGATATTGAAAGTGAAAGTGTTTTTAATTCGAAAGCCTTCAATGCAGTTCACCTAGCATTATAGTATTATTCGTATTATTCATTCAATCGCTTACTCATTCACTCGAACTCCCCCATCCAAGCCGAAAGCTGTAAAGCATTCAATACAGTTATGTTGAAAAGCGTCGTAATGCTTGAATGACTTGAGTTAGGAATGCAGCTGATGTCAAAGTACAAATTAAATTTATGTACGTACACAAGGAAAGCCAAATTCTTGGGAAAACGCAGCTGTGCAGCATGGAATCAAGCCAAAGCAACAAACATATGTATTTATATTTATATTTATATACATACATATTTATGGATATATGTACATTAATCAAGTTACACATACAAGTACATGATGTGAAATATGTCGTTTACTCACTCATTCGAAAAGTCACTTTCATTTTATCTGCTTGGGTGTCGCACATTTTTATTTCTTATGCAGATGAACTATGCAAATTGAATCAAAGTGAATGCCAGAGATGAATTCAAATATGCGTGAATGTCTGAAGAGTTGTTACAAAAAATACTGGCATTATATCGAAACAAAAATGAAATTATCTTGCATCCATAGAATGGATATAGAAGGGGGGAGAAATGTAACTGAATCGGTTAGTTCAATGATCCCACTGTCAGATGTTCATATGTCTCCCCGTCACGAAATGATTGCCATTTGGCTGAGCCCGCCTCCGAAAGGTCAACGTCTGGTCTTGCTGCCCTTCTACCAGTCTTATTATTAGACACCATACACCATGTCTAAATGTATAATGACAACCTTGTAAGTGCAACTGAAATAGCCAGTAGATTATTTTTGCTATCAAACGTTAATCCAATCGATTCAATTGCTATGCGTGTCAAGGCCAATGCATGATTGTGATTGGGAAATTGAATAGCGGTAGGGTTTTGGGCAGTCGACTTGAGTTAGAATTACTTGCCGTTCTCATCCATAATGTTTAAGTTTGAGTCAATTATTTAAAAAGAGAAGCACTGCTTATAAGTAACTTTTTAACCAATTTGGGAAGAGCGAGTGTGATGTCTAAATAGCTAGGGCGAAGTAAAGCCAATGCTTTCCTATCTTATGGGATGCTAATATAGAAGCGTCGATAGGTTTGTTTGTTACCAATGTTTTAACACACACTTCTTATCAGTTGCTCTTGCTTATCTATTTCGGGCTGTTTCAACTTTTTTCTCCTCAAATTGAGGAAACCCATTAGTTCTTCGTTTGTTCACCAAATTTCGACATCGGATTGAACTTGTATTATTTTAGTGATGACTCTATTGATTTTCAAACTTTCACTGGAAATCTGGGAATCTGTGAAATTTAAAGCGACGACATCAGAAAATTTCAAAACACAGTGTCAATTATTTACAAACAGAAGAAAAGAGACTGCGACAACGAAAGAAAGAAAAAAATAACTGCAAGTGCCAATAAATTTAAAAATGTTATTTGTAATCGTAATAACAAATTAAAAAAAAAGAGTTAATCTTCGATAGGCGCAATTTTTAATACACACTTCTTAAGGCTTCGTTATCTTTTTCTATTTGGGATTGAGCCTTTGCCTTTTTTTTCGCACTGATGCAACCCATACAACTTTTTAAAGGGCTCCAATCTTTTCACTTGAACGCGCAAACTGTTTACTTAAGTGCCCTGTGTTTTTTGGACTCTCTTTAATTTCGAAACGTAAAATTTAAAGCGTAGCTAGCTGAAAAATATTTAAGAATTTTTGTGGGGGAAAGGAGCGTTTCTTTTTTGATTCCGCTATTCGATTTACTTTTGTTGCTGTTGTGCACGCGAAATTCAACATTAGACTGACGTGCTTTCGTTCATTGTGCTTTGTGTTAACAGTTGTCTTCGATTTTTTCTACCCCAGCTCCAGCCGCCCCTCCGGCACGCCTCAATTATGCGACTGGCAGTGGCTACGGCTACGGCTATGGATTTACCCCCAATCGCGTTTCCATACTCTTCGCCCTTCGCTCTTCGTCACTGTCCTTTCCTACTTTGTGTGTGTGTGTGTGTTTTTTTGTGCTAATGGCGGTCCGTCGTGTCAGACTGCCTCACTGTGCCTGTGTGGGTATCTATCTGTCTGAGTGTCTGCTTGGCTATTGGCAAGTCAGTTCATGTAACCACTTGTATTGTTTGTAGGACAAATTGTAATAATAAATACAGTTAGCGCATTGTAGTTACAAAAGGTAAAGGGGGACGGGCATGACGCACTCTATTGTGTGGCAAGCTAAACATAAACTGTATGCGAGTGTACCGGGAATGATTGTCGCCTGCCATCACCAACATGGAAACTTCCCTTTGCTGTCCCCACAAAACTAAACTTTTTAATCAAAAACATATCTAAGTCAAAGTGTTTCCATTCGACATACAAGTATTCCTTATTTTACTTATTGGAACTTATTGGAACTTTCGTTGAATACTTATGCACCACCAAGTTTTGTCCATTAGCGCTAAAGTCCTTTTAATTAATGTAATTATCGGGCTTTTGTTCGATTGCGTGTGGCGTTTCAACGCTTACTATACACTACATTAATAAGCATAACTGAAGTTCACTTCTAGGTGCTAAGAGCTCAACTTTTTGTTACTTTCACATACTTGTAGACACATACTGGGAAAATGCACTTAGATGAACAATTTAAAGGAACTTTAATCTCAAATGTAAATAATGAATAAAGTTTTCTCAAACAAGCAAACCGGACATTGATTAACACATAAATATTAAGAAGAAGACTATTATTATTGATTCAATTAAAGTACAAAATCGAGGTCTATTTTGATTAAAGGTGTAGCCTGGCATTGTCATTAATATTTTATTGATTTCGCAATTAAGTGTAAAAGAAATTTGTTTCATAGATTTTGCAATTATATAAATATTTAATAATAAACAATGAAAATCTGATGATTAAATACGTATGCATTTTTTCCAGAGAAGAGATTTTAATGTATGAAGTTGATTAAAAAACTGATGAACTTGTTTCTCTAGCATTGCTGTAGTTTTGATTGAAAACTAAAAAAAGAAATGCTCTTTGAAAATTACATAATTGCAAAAAACCTGACTGTTGGTTTTTTGTGGTATAATTCTAAAAAGTAATTACTGAGTAATCAAGATAGTTGATTGGTCATACTATTCTATAAAACAATAGCACTTTGATAGACTCAGTGCACAGAGGCGAATTGTTTTCCTGTTTAACTGTAGCTGATCAGCATTTCAGCCACAAGATCAAAAACTAATTAATAAAAACATCATTTACAAATGTAATTATAGCACGAAGAGTATAACAAATTAAGCAAAAATATTATAGTTCTTAACACAATAAACAAGAAATCAATTAAATATTAGTGATGAATAGTTCGTAATGTATTTGGACAACTCTATTAAATTTCCTTGTCATTTTTGATAGAACTTAGCTATCAATGCCTGCTCTATCTTAAAACTACGTTCGACGTTATTACTTTGGCCGCTGATGAGGGCAACTTTCGAGTCTACAAGCATTAGGATCTAGCATATGCTTACAGACCTGAAATATAATTATGCATGGATGCAAACACTGGTTACTCTGCACTATCCTAGCAGAACCATATTCAACCCACAAATGTACCATAAGTGGATGCGGGGAGGTGGGTGTTATGGCCAACGTCTTGAGCAGGGCAAGAAACATCGCCATGACACTGCCATAAGTGACTGTTGTCCTTGTTGTCATTGTTGCTGCCGCTGTCGCTGCCAATATTGCTGCTACCGTTGATGTCTCTGCATGTGTGGGTGTTGGCTTTGGGACCCGAAGCTGCACATGTTAACTAAATCTCGCAATTCCCCAAGCTAATTTTTATTTATTATGACAACTTGACTGCGTCGCTGCATGGCGCCAACATTATCTGTTTATAAAAATGTTACTAGTGGCTTTTCATTTATCATTTAAGATGCTTCTGCACGCTTAATTGAAGGAAAGTACAAAATGTGTTTAGAGACTATACAAAAAACCTAATATACTCTTGTACATTTCATGTACAGAGTATAAAAATGTGCAATTGAATCTCTAAAATCGTACATTTTTCTATATTGTATATAGGTTTCCCATGTTTCTAAAATCACGTTCGCTGTCAATATTGGTGATCAAAGAATTAAAAAATAATACAAATTTTGGTCCCATAAAAATCTACAAGTATTGTTCGATTTTTATCTGACGCTTGAAAGAAACAGGCATACTCGCAGTTGAACGCATATATAATAATTTAATAATTAGCTCTATAAATCTATATGCAATAACCTCAGCATGTTGAATGCAGGCTATAACAATTGGTAGTTTAAAAAACACAAATTTATTCAAGAAATAAGATATACTTCATTCAGTTGATGAAAATATGGAACATAAATAAAGTACCCTTCCCTAAATGCTTGTTTATTTTTTCCCATTTGGTATTCGCATTCTACTTGTACATTACAATCTAAGCTTACTCGCAGTTGAACTCATATAATAATTTAATAATTAGCTCTACAAGTCTAAATGCAATAACCTCAGCAAGTTGAATGCAGACAATAACAATTGGTAGCTTTAATACACAAATTTATTCAAGAAACAAGTAAAAAAGCTAAAGTCGGGTGTCCCGACTTTGAAATACTCTGTACATATGTTTACAATAATTATAGAAAATAAAAAAATTAAGAAAATAAAAAAAAAAATTTGATCGATTTTACCTCTCTCGGTATTCGAACTCACGTAAAGGGTGTATAATTGCACATTTACATAGCAATTGCGTCTGTGTGAGTGTATGTATGCCTATGCGCATCTATTCGTGTCTGTGTAAGCATTTTCGCAGTCAACCAAACAGCAACATCAACAACAGCCGCGGGCAGCGCTTGAGCAGCGCTGCAGCAGCAAATATATTTATGGCTATAACTTCTTGGTAAATCGGTCTATCATAGTGAAACTTGGCATACGGACACATAATTACAAACTGGGGGTATTTGCAAAATTTTAGTTCGAAATTCCAAGAATTACGGGAGTTACGATTTGTGGGGTAGAGAGGGGAGGGAGGGAAATTCCAAAATATACATTTTCTGCGTATTCACATAAGGCATCTGGGACTAAAATTTGGTGTTCCTAGGTCTTATAGTCTCCGAGATATAGGCGATTATACGAATCGAAAATCGGGAAAACCCCCATAGGGGGGAAGTGGGGGGGAAAATCAAAAAAATAAAACAAACTCGTATAGAATACACACATAACGCATCTTTGTGCAAAATTTGGTGTCTCTAGCTCTTATAGTCTCTGAGATCCAGGTGTTCATACGGACGGACAGACGGACAGACTGACAGACGGACAGACGGACAGACAGACAGACAGGGCTAGATCGACTCGTGTCGTCATGCTGATCAAGAATATATATACTTTGTGGGGTCTGCCACGCCTCCTTCTGCCTGTTACATTTTTCAGCTCCCGCAAACCTAATATACTTCTGTACATTTCATTTCAGAAAGTATGCTACAAATTCGCTAATCCGCACAATTATAGGGAAAGTACCCCCCCAGAAAGGAAACATACATAGTACGCATAGCTACATAAAAGGCGCAGAATGTGGTGGAAGCACGCAAATGTCAAGACGGCACCCCAAAGCAGCTCAAAGGACAAATTAGCAGCAGGCAACGTGACGTATGCGTGATATCAATTACGTATAATTACAAAGCCACTTGTAAATGTCCATGCGTCATTACAACAACATGACAGCGCAATTTGGCGAAAGCATGAATGAACCATGAGCTATGACAGAGGTTGGGGTTTATATGGATATCGAGATATAAGCATATATACTCACTTTTCTCAGCTCTCGATGCGCTCATGCCGCGCAGTGGCTTGCGGAAGTGCTTGCACCAACCTTTCCTCTGGAAGAGCTGCAGCAAACTGGATGCGCGCGTTGTTGTCTGTGCCGCCACCGGTTGTGGCTGCCCGTTCGGTCCCAATGTGGTCGTTTGCATGCTGGCCCCCACACGCTCGATTTCCGACGACCGACATGAGGAGGCGTCTTCAACGGAGGAGCTGCGCCGCTTGGTGCTTTCGCTGCGCAGGCATACACAACTGCGCAGCATGTTGCTTAATGGACAACGGACGACGACACTGGATGACACTCAAAATGACAGGCGCTGTGACAGCCGCGTAACCTGAGATGCCGCCTTAACTACGCGCCACGCAGGCGTTGCATGAATCTCGAAGCTATGTCGACCCCACGTTTTACATGCCGCTTCTTCCGCCTAATTGCAGACCTTGCCGCCAGCTACATATGGACGGAACCTGGATGTGTGTGGATGTCTATGTCGAATTGGTTGGGATGGTATGGTGCTGCGCGTGTGTGGCTTCTGGTTTGGCTTGCGGTTCACTTTGCGCGTCTATCAAACAGTAATGTAATTTGCTAGTCGCTGTCTACCTGCCACCAAGTACATACGTTAGCCACACCTCCCCTCCCGCTATTCGTTGTCAGTGAGTGTATGTGTGTGTGTGTGTGTGTGTGTGTGTGTGTGTGTGTGGTGCGGATGTTTTGCGCACGACTGGCCCACCTTGTTTACCTTCCACTTTTAATGTAAATTGATTTTACTATATTATTACTTATTCATACGAGTGTTTCCCACACAAATTTCAGTTGAATGCGTTTGCTTAAGATACTATATACACGTACTAGTATATGCATCTATGCCGCGTTGATTGGATGTTGGTTTTCATTCGGCAGCTGAAAATAAATAAGGAAAGGAAGGTTTAGTAAAACTATAATAATTGGTTTGATGTTAATTGTAGGTATTTATCAAGACAAATACACATTGTATCAGTTACCTAATTACTAATATATAGACATTAACTCCATTCACCTTCATAATCTATAACTTAGCTGGAAACAAATAAATGCCTTTGTTGAACTCACTTTAAGATGGAATAAGTAAGAAGACACATTTCTGTTCAATATGAGCTCATCGCCTTGATGATTTTTCTATATTTAATATAACCATTGAATCCGTGCATACAGGTTTGGCACCTTAAGAATATATTTTCCGAGCGAGGATTAACAAGTAAGTGGTGGCTTATGCTTATCTAATTGTTTGTTTTAGATTAAAATATCACCAAATTCAGTCCACAGCATTACATTTGCAGCATTAACTTAACCTTAAATAAAAAACATTACAATATCGAAATATATCTGCCAATTTCACGAGACCTGAAAAGCTGTTGAGGGGGAAAACAATGTTTTTCCGCAAAGCAGTTTTTTGCTTGCTGGACTACTCCTAAATTTCCATTTACGGTTTAGCCTTTGGTCCACAAACAAACAACACTATGAAAGAAATATTTTTTTGTATCACTTAGAGCTATGAAATGTTACTAAAAAAAACTTAATTTGCTCATTTATGTATTTATTATTTTTATTTATCGACAAATAAAGTTGACGCTACACAAAAAATACACAGAGAAGCCAAATGTATATAAGTAAAAAATTATTACAGCACTCGACCAAAAACCAAATATATATAAATATAGAAAATCTATGTATTACATTACAGTATACAATATATAGATGGCAACCGTGATTAGAAGATTGGTAGTTCATTGTTTCAAACTCTTAGCATCTCTTCCATGATTATAAATAAGTATTAAGAAACTAGCACCGCCTGTAGATACCTTCTCCATTTTATCGGATTTAAACAATAGAGGATGCTTATAATAGCCAGAACGGGCAGATGGGTGGCAGTTTTATTCTCCCACTCGCCCAAACCACTTCTGTGTCACTTAGTATATTCTAGGCTAGGCTCTTGAGAGCGATTCAAAAGCTGTCAAGGACTATTCGTGGTACGGCAGACCTTTTGCTTAGAAGGCAGTGGTGAGAAGCCACCAAATCACATCAATTTGTTCCTCTTGTTATATAATTTGGAATATGAAAAGGATAATCATGTTCATATCAAATCAAATTTCAAAACATTTAGAAAACTGAGTAAGGATAACAAGTTAATGAGTAATGGTCTGGGCGTGAAATAAATATTGAACATTTTAAATAAAAGTCGATTTAGAATTCCGTTCGAATGCTGTGAGTTGAAAAGCACGTCGTGGACTATATACTTGTATACATACCCGTACATATCCAAAGTCGCGCACACAAACTGCCAACGAGCAGAAATTTGAAACAGTGTTTATGACATTAAACACACAATCAAACGTGATTTGGGTTAAACACAAACACAAACCGCCTTTGAAATTGATTTTTCTCTGTCCATATGACGGCAGATGCTGGAGAGGGTTTAGGGCTGATGCACAGTCCCAACTAAAGACTAAAATGCAGGCTAGAAACAATTTAAATAATATTCGATGCTAATCGAAGGATTGGGCTTGTGCTGCGTGAGCAATGAATGTAAAGTGATTTCCGCTGCCAAAAGCATATAGAATCTCTTGGCCGTCGCAACACCATCCTTCTATACTTATCCTTTCGTCAAATGCTTTTTGCCTTGGGGTTAGTCGAGCGTTCGAGCGTTCGAGCGTTTGCGAAGCATGATATTTGGCATTTAAATGTTTACGTTGACATTTCGTTTCAAAACATGTCCCAATGTGCCCAACATCCAGACTTTCCCCAACAGGCCAATCAAAATGTCTGCGTCTGTCGCATACGGAATTTTGCACACTTTGTGAAAGACTCAGACAAAAATGAAACCGAAGCCACTAAGCCAGCGGGATGTGGGCCATGTGCATCGAATATTTGCCATGTACACTCGTATGTATGTAGGAGTATATATACATATGTATGTGTGTGCATATGTCTCACCCCCATCGACTATTTCTGAAACTTTGGAATAACTATATGCGAGTTCTCTATACAAGTACTTGTATATGTGTGTGCTTATGCAGTCTTTTTATGTTTTCCATTTTTAACTCACATGCATACATACATACATACATACACACATACACATGTATAACAAAGTTGACTGATGCTGACACGCGCGAATGTTTTATGCAAATACGGATGTTTAATTTGCGACTGAATAATCCGCTATGCAAATAAAGCTACGCCTCGTCGCCGAAAATGCTCTCAGCCGATTCAACCGCTTTAACAGGCACAGCAGCCCCCATGTTGCAGAAAAAGAGCCAATGGGGGCTGAGGCCCTAGTGCTCGCTGGTTTGTAATGACGCAGGGAATTGTGTATTGTCGCTTTAAATCCAGGGAAATTAATGAGCATATGACATCAACACGTGCCATATTCAGATGATTTCATTTCATTTCACAGCTCACACTTTAAATTACGCACATTAGGGAAACTTTGACACTACTTTATTGATAGTTCGCAAAACTATTGCTATTTAGCAGACATTAAATATATATGTAGTTAATGGTGCCAGGTTCTCTGTTCTCCTACTTGAGGTTCTATTAGTATTTAAGAACAACAATTATTTGGTTTGTGAGGTCTGCCTCAGCTTCTGAACTCTGTCAAAATTCGTGCTTCCACATCTTCAGTTATCCAATAAAAAATCATATTGCCTGGAAAATTGTTTGAAGCAGTTTGAGTCCGCTCAGCACTGCTCTTTCAAATGACTTATAATGTTGATGATGTTTTTCAATTTTTTTTTATTAATAAATTAGTAGTCGAGTAATGATTTGTAAGGATTTCTTGCTATCTTCTGTTCACTGTTAACCGAAAATTTGGCTTGGCTAAGAGATGTTACTCCTCCTTTTAAAAAGTTATCTTTGAAGAACATTTTTTGGCAACAACTCAAATAAAATAAGTGCTTTAATTGAGCTCTCGAGCATATTTAAGCATACTATTGTTTTTTAATAATTGTGTGGGTCTTTTATGAAACAAACATTTTCCTATTGAAATGCTTCGATCCATGCACCACTTATTTATGTTTTTTAAAAGTATTTATAGCATTTAAGTCCTTTGAAGACTGCACCCACTCTTCATGACTATCGGGTATACTCGTAGTATACTTAATGGGGCTTTCATTTTTCTTTAACACACATTACATTTTTTAATATTTAATATATGTACTTATTGTACATTTAACAAAAATATACTTAGTATATACTCCTCTTTGTTTTTCATTCATGAACAAGGAGCTTCACAGCCCATCTTAGTTCTGCTTCACAAAAGATACATCGCCAACAAAACCCACAAACGTTCCTATACATATGTGGGTATATTTATTTGTGTGGGTATCAGGAATGGAGTGAATTGAGTGTGGCACAAAAAACACAGTCACCCACGCACAAAAGCGGCAGGGGCAATGAGGCGACCGCACAACAAAATGATGAAATGACAAAAGGATTTATATACTGAATCAAGTAGCAAACACATTCAAATGCCACAAACAGACGTGTCCAGAAACAAGCATCATCTGTCTGTATATTCATTTTTGGATGCTCTTGTGTACACAGATAGACACACACATACACATGTACACATTCATCTATCCATATCTATATAAATGCAGATGCGTAGAGAGATGTTCATGTCAGGGCTTGCCTCGACAATTGCGCTTGTGGGTAAGTAAGGCCATCAGTGTAAAATTATTTTATGTTTCATAAACAAAAAATAATAACATAAAATGGAAATGGAGAAGGAAAAAGATAGAAAGCTAACAAAAAAAATGCTGGACAAGCTATATGTATGTTAACTATTCATGGCCATAACTAGCGACGGCATCCATGTGGGAACACACACCCGTATACGAATATCTGTTCATGACAATGCCGCTTTTGATTTGCTCGATTACTGGCTTTTCCTTTGCCTTTGCCTTTGCCTGTGCCTTTGCCTTTACCTCTGCCCGGGCCAAAGCCATTGTGGTGGCCTCTGTTACAGTCGCAGAACCGCTTGGACGAGCTTCGGTCCTTTGTGTTTGGTCAGGTTGTCTGTCGACAACCAGTCAGCGAAACCGACCGCCAACTTGGAGTTCAGTAGACAAACGAAGCTTTGACAGATTGAGCTATATCCATATAGCACACACACACACACACACACACACTCACACGCATACAGCCAACGATACAGTGGCATTGCGCAAAACCACAAAGTGTGAAATTAAAATTCTAAACGCTTAGAACACAATGGAGGGGAGGTGGCAACCGGGAGGGTTACGGTTGCCGCATAATACAAAACCCCATGCCGAAACATAAACGAGGCAGGTAATATTGATTAATCGTTTAAGCTCTTTCGTTTCTGGTTTGGTTGTTGGGCTGTAAAAAATGTAACCACAACTTCCATAATGACAACCGTAAATGCTAATGTTTATACTCGTATGTAAATGTGTGTGTGTTGCTTCTGTGTATATGTATGTATGTATGTATGTATGTGGGAGACCCTTTCGCAAAGTGCTCGACTGTTAAGTAGCCCCAAACTTGAATTTAATTGCAAAATGTGGTTATAAGTATTAATCTCCGACTATGGCATAAGAAGCGTAAATTAAAAACAAGCGTGACATGGCATTAAAGTAGCCATTAACATAAATAAATTGAGGTGATATAATACTTATTGCAAGTCTCATTTCAAATAATAAAGTGCTTGAAGACTCTAAAAGGCTGCCTTATAGTGTAGACTTTATCTTTTCCTTAAATGTTAGCCTTTTTTTGTGTTGCTGTCAATCAACTTTTCAAAGGTACAATGCTATCGTCCAAGATCTCTTTTATTAATAAATATACATTCTGTATTTTTTTAGTGTCTTTAAGCTTGGCAGCAAATCTTTTCTGAAATAGGTAGA